TAGAATAAAGAAGTTATTAGTAGAAAAAAAAGCAAAAGAAATAGTTAATCAAACAGTCAAAGATCTCAGATACAAAAAAATGATGATAAGCCAAATTGTGTATATAAACAATACAGTAATTATTCCAAAATTGAGATATCTGCTACAACTAACAAAAATGACAGAAAAGATAATTAACAAAATACATCAACTCCTAATATGCCTGGCAAAACATAAATGCAATATGATATATATAGCAAATAATTATATAATAGAACACAAAGACCTTGGCAACTGCAAGACATTAGAACAAGAGATAACAGCAAAACAAATAAGCAGCATATTCACAAGACTGAACAAAAAAGATAACTTAGATAAACTAACAAGACTTAAAGTAACTTAAGGCTGCCAAATGGCAGGCTTAACAGAAGATACATGAAATGCAGAAACAGGATCAGAAAAAAAAAATATTGAAAGAATAACTTAGTATGTCAAACAATAGTCAAAGCAAAAGATATAGGTATAGCCATTAGAGCAAAAGAATGCTTATGAAGGTTGTATGGATATAGAAACAAAATAAGAGACATAATAGAAACAAAAACATAGAAAGCAAACAGTGCCAAAATAAATAGTTAGGGATTAATATATTTAAATCAACTAATAGACACAAGAGGCAAAAAACTAATTACATAAAGACAGCTCAAAAGTTTTCAAGAAAGATTATGTAAAGAAAAAAAGTCAACATGGTTCAGTGAAATTGAGAAAAAAACATTAATAACATAAGCAAACAAAGATGTATATAATCAATACAAAGTGAACAATTATAATACACAAGCACTAAAGATCATATGAACAAAAATGTCAGAAGACAAAAGAAAAAGAGAATGAATTATATACAAGTCAAAGAATAACCAACAACTAGACAAAGTAGCTAAGAAAAAAGAAAAAGAAATTTTAATTGAATATTGATTAATGTACAAGAAAAAAAAAATATCAACAGAAATAAGCAAGTGTAAAGAATGTGGAAATATGCAAACACAGACAATAGATTAATATGAAAAGTAGATTCAACTAGATCACAACATAAAAGCTATTCCAGAATCAATAATAGAAAAAAATAACAATAGAATTAATGTAACAATAGACTAACTAAAAGAGAAGAGAACAATAGAAAAATAAAGAAATAAGGAAAGAGAATTAGTTAGACTCAAACAAATAAAAGAATTAAAAATAGAAATAATAAGAAAGCAAAAATTAAATAATATGCTTACAGAATAGCTAATAGAGATCATAACAAGAAACAAAGAAAGAAACAAAGAAAAATATATTTTTTATATAGATAGAGCATTATACAAGAACAATATAAAAAGAATGAGTATCAGATGGTGCAAGTAGAAGAGAAAACCAATTGATCAGAGAAAGAATTAGTGCTAGGCCTAGAAGAATAACCATCAGCAACTTTAGCAGAGCTAATAGCAATATGGGCAACAATTCTAACAATACCTAAAAGAAAAAATATAAAAATTCATACAAATAGCAATATAGCAATAAAAAACATTAGTAATGTATTACAAAATACAAATAATGAGAAAATTCTGAAAAAGAAAAATGCCATATAGATATTAAATATTACAGAACTAGTCAAAAAAAAAACACTAATATAGAATTAATTAAAGTCAAAAGTCACAATGAAGACAGATAAAATGACAAAGCAGATCTTTTAATAAAAAAAGAAGCAAACTGTAAAAAAGTAATCCAAATAAAAAAACTTAAATATGAAGAAATAGAATACCAACTAGAGTGAAAAAAAAAAAATAGATATATTTGCAAGACTTCTTTATAAAATAATTGTAAATGCCAGAATAAAAGCTAATTGGAAAGATATAAATTTAATCAGAATTCTGGAACCAGAAACAGAATACATATATTACAACTGATCAAGTTTTTAGAAAGAGATGAGTAGAACAAAAGAAGTATATTGTACTTCAAGAAAACTAAGTACAAGAAAAGTTATAGTAATTAAATATGTAATGAATAGTCTACTAACACTAGTAGAGCTAAACAAAAGAAGACCAGTGGTATATATAATAACATAATGCCAAGTCTGTCAAAGTAGTGAAGACAAAACCCAAGAACACTTAGCAAGTTATAATAAACAAAAAAGTATAAAGAAATGAATATAAAAAATTTTAACAGCAACAGCATAGAATAGGTTCAAAGAAAAAGAAAAAATCAGAATTCTAACACAAATATTATATAAAGCACTATTCAGAAAAACAGAAGTGGAAGAAGTTCTGAATTGAAAAGTGCTAATAAAAAGACTAACAATAATAGAAATAAGAAAAAAACTTGATAAACTACTAAATAAGCAAGTAGTAAAAAAATGTCTTGACATAGTAACAAAAACAGTATGGAATATCTTTTATGATCAAATATAAAAAGTTCGATATGAAAAAATACAAAAGTGAGAAAAAAAAATTAATATAATAAGTAAATAAAAAAAAGTATTTGCACAGAAAAGAATGTAACAAAAGAAAAAAAAAAGATAATAAAAAGAAAAGGAAAAGAAAAGAAGGAAAAAAGAGAAGAAAAAATAGAAAAAACAAGTTGAAGGAAAAAAAAAACTTGGAAGACAATTAATATACTTGTTACAGAAAAAGAAAGACCTTTCTAGTATAGTTTTAAGTAGTTAGATGAGCAGTCTATCTCTAACTGAGATAATGTAACAAGTTGCACTTAGATACTATTAGGATAACCAAGTGATGCTAGATTTAAATATTAGGAAATTCTATATAATTATATATCTATTTAATTTCAAGAATCTTAATAAAGTACTAGCATAACTGTTTAAGGCAAAAAAAAAAATACTATATTAAAAGGTTTAGAAATTTAATTTTAAACTTTAAAACATAAAGTACATGATAATTAAATTGCATTTTAAAAATATTTTGATTACTTTATAGAAAATATGCATTAGCTATAAAATTTAAATTAAAGGTTTCAGGTTTTGAGTTACAACTCTAATCTTATTGTTCTCATTGTCATATTTAAAAATCAGATCTACCAATTATGTTTGAGTTACAGAACCAGGATGCTCTTTTTTTGCAAAGCATTTATAGATGTGAAAAAATAATAGATTATATGCATATTATAATCCTGAACACCTTATACTAGGTTAGTTAAAAAAGTTTCAAACATCACATGATTAATATAAAGTACTAAAAATTTATATAACTTAACAAAAAAATATACAAACTAACAAAATAACATGTATCGATAAGTAATAAATTAATCATTTTATTTATTTTGAATAACTCAATAAATGTACAACCAGAAAGTATTATGATTAATAGTTTTCTAAGTATTTGAAATATTCAATTACCTTTTAAAATGAGTATAATTCTCTAATTTATGCAATAGCAAAATTTTTATTAATACTACATACCAAGTTATTTGTTACTATTTGGGTTCATTATGTTTTTTTCAACAATTTTTTATTGCTGCATCCTGTATTCAAAATTATAAAAACCTTTTACTCAAATAAATAATCAAGTTATAATCTTCTGGAAGAGCATTAAAAATAAAATCTACAAAATTTTCTGATGCAATTGCATTTTCTTAATTAGTTTTTATAATTTTATTTCGATTTTCATTTTTTTCTCGTTTATTATTAGTGGAAATTTGGTTACAGCAATCAATGTATATTTTTAGAATGCTTTTAACCATCGCTTTTCATTTTGAAGTATCGAGGAAAAAAATTACTACAACTAGGAATCGGAAACCGATATAAGTCCGGAGCATAAATAAAGTATAAATAAATACAGTATAAATAAATAAAGTATAAATATCTTATGAATTTCGTATTACTAATCAATAACCTGTTTGTTCAAAAATAATTTTGCAATCACGCGTCACGCGTGCGGACAGACAAAAAATTTCCAAATTACGATATTGATATATTTGATTAAGATAATAATACTGACGCATCAAAAAAGAATTTTTCATGATCAAAATGCATCAAAAACGTAACTTTTGTATCACATAGTGCGTAGAAATTAAGTGTCCGTCGCTACACTCCGGACAATTATGTTATATTTAATGATCCTAATCATGATGGTTTGACAATATCACATGGTTTTCGAAACTTTTTTTGGTGGCGAAATTACAGCTGTTTTCATAAATTTTGAACTTTTGATTCGGTTATCGAAGCAAATATTCGGTCGGTCAATTTTTTCCAGATTTTCCAGAATTTATGAAAACAGCTGTAATTACTTTATACATGTGACCGAAATGTTTCGACCATTTCGGCCACTTGGCAAATGTTCAAAGCAAAGTTATCAATAATTTGTAAATATGATAGAAATTAGACTTCATATATATTAAACCAAATCCGCAGAACCTTATGCAAGCCCTTTTGGTATTTCGGCAGACTTTGGAATTTTCGAAAATCCGTACTTAATATACAGCCGAAACTTCCAGAGTCTGCCGAAATACCAAAAAGTCTTGCCGAAATACAAAAAGGGCTTGCATAAGGTTTTGCGGATCTAGCTTAACATATATGAAGCTTAATTTCTATCATATTTACGAATTATTGATAACTTTACTTTGAACATTTGCCAAGTGGCCGAAATGGTCGAAACATTTCGACCACATGTATAAATTACTTAACCGGATCGGCCGAAAAATCATTCGCTAATTTTTGCCAGGTGTCCCAGAATTTATGATAACAGCTGTAACAGAAGTACTCACCGTCCCTACTGTAGATTTATCAGTTAAGTATTATTAGGTTATATTCGGTATAGTAGCGTAGTATATACTGTGTTTATACATTATACTGTATAATTACAAACTCGGGCTCATTCCTCAAACTATGATTAGTGAAGTTTCACATTACACTATATTTAATCATTTCTAATTACTCAGAATTCAAACTATCATGCAGAGGGGCCTCTGACAAGATAATAATAATAAAATATATGTTCCTATTTTATTTATTTAAAATCCATTGCAGCAACATGTTTCTATTCTTCTTCCTCCTCTTCAACATCGTTGCTAATGTTAAAGTATCTTATTTGATATGTGTTCTATATATCGTCAAAATCATAAATAAAATGATATTATTATATTTATATGCCAAAAATGATTAATGAAAACCCGTATTGAAAAGCATAATTGGCTTACCGAATCAGTAGCGACAACACGTAACCAGTCACGAATACGATGTTGCTTCATAAATTTTTTGGTAAGATATTTCATATACCGCTTGGAAAAAACATGAGAGGTGGTGGTAATCGTAATTTTATGATCTTCGCTACGACTTATAGTAACAATATCACCTAATTGACCTGTACGGCCATTAATTTTCACTCGATCATGAAGAAATTTTTCCTATTAATTAATTAATGATCAATAATCTAATCAATTTGGCTTGAAATGGCATTGATAAATACTTACAAAAGCTGCCGAATCAAAAATCTTATCCTGTGAAGGTGCCGATGCGTCAATAGTGTATTTCTGTTTATTCACAGCTTTTTTACTGGCTTTTGCGGAACCACCTTTTTGCTTTTTTGTAGGTGTGAGAGATCAAAAGCCTAAGATTAATATATTATACTTTTTTCTAAAATGTATCAATATAACTTACAGCTGCACCACCAGTCATTGCTACAATTTTTTTTTAACTATAAATCCAAACCTCGAGTAACTTCGGGTTTTTTTGGAAGAGGATGAAAATGATTTGTTTAAGCTGGAATTTATAAGATTGGTTTTTTTTTTTGCCTGTTACAATGTCAGGTGACTACAACCATAGCTGGACGTCACATGTTTTAGTTAATTTGGTTGATAAATCAGAAATATTTTTCGGGGTGGTCAGCTAGAGCGGAGTGAGGTTTAGAGATACTTTTTTGATGCAGTTATGGTTAGTGGGTTATATAGATATCAAGAATGTAATTTATGCAGTATGTAGATCATATATTGAATTAACTCTGCGATTAACTAATCGATCAATTTTTGATTTGGAACACTACTTTAGCCGACCCCAAATCAAAGTCAACCAGCACGTTTTTATTAACCCATAGCTTATTAACAAAATAGACCAGCTTTTAAAATCAATTTTATTACATAGACCACCAAATGAATAAGTAATAATAATACAAATATATATTGTCCATACGAATGTATTTTGTTTGCTTAAACAAAGATTCTTAATAAAATTTGAGTTATAAACTTGGCTAGCATTTTTGAGTTAGCCATTCTAAGTTGTTTTAGAATGGACAATCTCATAGAGATAGTCAAATTTTATAAATGTTGGGGTTTGATTTTGCCTGACAAGTACATATCTAAAAGATGATTATTGTTAATTGAATTTAATGTCGGGGATGATGCTGAAGCTTTGACATATTTTGATATTAAATGTTAATTTTGGAGGGACATTTTTTTTTAGCCTTTTTTTTTTGTAGTTAGGTTAGGATTTAGTGTTAGTGTTTATAATAAAAAAGTATAGGTGGATTTTAGTTGGGTTTACATGTTTAAATCGAGACCCTCAAATTTCAGCATCATTTCCGACATTTAATAAAGGTTTATTGGTATATCGAAACATACCTCACCACCAAGGTTGTAGATTTTGGTAACTTTGTGATAAATTACCAATGGTTTTGGTAATTCACAGTGTTAGTGGCAAACCTGTACCTCCCCGGTCTCAAAGAATTGTCTCAAATGGAGGAATAGTAGGGCCCCGAATCGACACTGCATAAGATCGTGACCGTAGCCGCTAAGCCTCCAGAACAATTACCGCTGTCAGACCCGAAATGGTAAAGTAGTCTGCATTAACCCGATTGACAGTAAAGGCTAAAATGAGTCAATGGGTTAATATTGCCTTGTCGGGTAAAGCTTGTGGCCGTGTGGGTGTGTCTCTAATCGATTGAAGGAATAAGAACGTTGGTTGGAAGGTGAAAAGGAAGTGTTGAATGAGCGAGACATGAAGGCTGTGAAAAAGGAGGGATAAAGAATTAAATTAAAAAGGAATCACGGTTTGGGACCTATGGGAAAATAGTGTGAGAAAGCATAAGGGAACGTTCGAAAAATCCCTTAGAGAAACGTTATAAATAGACCAAGGAATTACCTCTTGAATGTAGTGTGCTCCCGCCCTAAAAAAAAAAAAAATAAAAAAAATAAAAAAAAAATAAAAAAAATAAATAAAGCATAAAAAAAATTCGTTAATAATAAAGGACCCAAACCATATAACGGCCTATACTTATCTTGTAACGCTCCTTATCGTTCGCCTTGACCTTGGGCCAAATCGTTTCCGCCTCTGGAACGTTGAGGAACGTTACGCGGCATAATCGTTTTCCAAGAGACAATTCGTCGCATTTCTCAATTGCTTTTGTGTGTGTAATCCCACCGATATTGCCAGTAACAACAGTAAATTACTTATATTTTTTGGAAAATTACCAGTAATTTTAAACCTTACTGCTTATATTAGAAGACCAAGTGCAATATGATGCGCTGTCAAATTTTACCGGTAGTATTTAAGATGACGTTTTGTTAGATTTCACTTGATAAATGGATAAGGTAAACTTCCAATACGAGAAATACATAAGCATAATAGAATATTTAATGCGATCAGTTTCTTTGAAAATACATAAATGATAAATTTTTATAACCATTATTCAGCAGTTAGTTCATATCTTGCGGAGCAGTAAAATATCTGAAGCACCAACCCACGGCGATAATGTGGGATGGTACTAACAAATATCCCATCATGATTAACTGTTGGGTCAACTAATTTTGTCGAAGAGAACCTTCGACAAGAAAAGTATTCCACGGTTGTTTCACATAATGTAGCCCCAAATCATCGAATGGATATAACAGGTGTCATCATTCAATATACTGCTAAATTACCAAATTTATGTAAATTAATACTTACATCTTTTGACCAAGTATAAGTTCCATAGATAATGATATAACATAAAAATTCTCTAATTGCTAATCACCCTGAAACAAAATTGAAAAATAAATGAGATTGCAATAATAAAAGGGTAATTATTTAAATGCTAAACGCTAGATCAGAGTCAAAATATAATCAAAATATAAATTCATTTGAAACACAGATTTAATTTTTCAAAACATCATATCAACACCTCAATTAAATACAGAATTCAGGTGCATACCATGGATCCCAGTTAATGTTTATGATTTTTATTTGCGCTATGGCAATTTCTCTGATTATCCTAGACAGGGAATGAAATTTGAACGATATTAATGGATGCTAACCTTATATTAATACAAGATAGAACAAATTCAAAGATCAGACAGTTTCCAATATCCTTCATTAATCTCAGAAGCAGAACTGGTAATTGGAATATCATCATGTACAAACAACAGTAAATATTTACGACAGAACAATTTTTCCTTTGATAAATACCTTTCGTTAAAGTGCCGAATACGAACCTATAAATTAAGAATTACATAATGAGATATTGTATTGTATAGCATAGAACTTTACATTTTAAAAATTGCTCAGATGGTAGTGCATGTTTTAGTTTTAGATCACTTCATTCTTCAAAAATCACCAAATGGTATATTCAAATGTCATCATTGGGAAAACGCATCTGTTAGTCAAAAATAAAATACTTACAACACAAGGCAAACATCTTGAATCTGGAAATACAAAAGGACCTATCAATGACTTAACATTCGTAGTAACTTTGCAAGTCATAGACGTAAAATTGTATTATATTAACTGTGCACTAGTAACCTATATATGCACAGTTAGATATAATGCAATTTATAAATATAATTTGCGAAGCTATTAACGCTAAAATGTTCTGAATAGAGATGTGCCTCGCGAGATAAACCTAGTGTATATGTGTTGCAGCATAACTAATCATTAAATACAGCTATAGGTTTCACTCTGCAACCCTCATGTCTCACATATCGCGCGACTTGCGTGAGATGCTTATATAGACCTCCCATGGACAAAAGTTGTAATTTAACTTATTATATACTAATTTTTAGTTTTTAATGATAAATTATATCAAATTTATCAACTGGCTACTATGATTTTACTATTTATAAAATTTATCTCGTGAAGGCACCTCTCTAGCTTCGAATAGAGATTGTATCCAAGTAGACATTTTTACTCGGAAACTAGGTAATTTAATAATACCCGAGTAGAAATTTCCTTGACGGGCACAATCTCGAAGGTTAATTGAAACGAAAAAAAAAACACCCAGAGTGATGATTGGCCACAGCTATATGTACTGTATTACTTGATAACTGATTTCAGCGTCCAATTGGATGATTATATCGATATATCGGCATCGATAACAGAAACATTTTCGCAGAATTTTATCTTAAAAAGTTCTATTTGAAATCATTCTGAAGTACGCATCTTGATTTGGAAGGTGTTAACTGGATATCAGTTCACTGAGATTGTTCTTGGCTCCAGTAACTTTTTGCACTCTGCCTAACTGTGTCCGAGATCAGTGTTTGACATTAGTGTTCTCAGAGTTCTCATGAGAACACAAATTTGCGAGTATGAACAGCTAAAAGCTGATTTTCTTTATATTAGAGAACACCAAAAATTGACTCTAGAAACACTAAATAGAACACGAGAACACTGATTTAGTCTCAGATTTTCAAACACTGCTCGAGATAGGGTAAAGTGAATTCTGATGCAAGTTCATTAATCCAACCGTTTTATTTTCTATTATAAAGAATATAAAATTGACAATTACGTACTTTATTTGAGTAACTATTCGGTAACAAAACAACTTTTACCATGAACGAAGAGAATGACACCAATACCCCTTCCGATGCGACTTCCTCGAAGCCAAAATCGAAAAAATACCGCAAAGAGAAACGTAAAAATAAGCCTCCTATCTGATTCACTATTTGTTTTACGAAATTTTTATAAACTAAATAAATACACCACGATAAATTTAGCTTGGGATAACGAAGATATAGATCATTGGAAAATTGAATCATTTACCCGGGAAGACAATCCGTATTCTTTTACGGAAGAATCGTCTTTTGCAACCCTGTTTCCCAAATATCGGGAAAATTATTTAAAAGAAGTATGGCCGCACGTCACGAAAGCTTTAGAAAATGTGGTATTTATTTTCAACATTCATTATTCTGTTTGCTATCGCTTCAAAGTATGAATTATCTACACTTCATTCTGTTCAAATTTAGGGCATTGGATGTCTATTGGATCTAGTCGAAGGAAGTATGACCGTAAAAACAACTAGGAAGACATTTGATCCATACATAATACTCAAGGCACGTGACCTGATAAAATTGTTGGCAAGAAGTGTTCCTTTTCCTCAGGTATTCCTTGGAATGTGCAAACAGAACCGATTTTTTTATTTCAACGTGAAATTAAACGTTGATGCAAATATATCAGGCAGTTAAGATTCTTGACGATGGAGTATCATGTGATATTATCAAAATTGGAAATATTATTAGAAGCAAAGAACGTTTTGTCAAACGAAGACAAAGGTTGATTGGACCAAATGGTTCAACGCTAAAGGTATAGTCTTCACTAAATAAATATACATTATAAACTTTAATCTGATTTTAAATACTATTTAAATTTGTTTAGGCGATAGAACTATTGACTCAGTGCTACATCATGGTACAAGGAAATACCGTATCTTCCAT